CTACATTGGTTTAGATAATTGTTGTCTTCAACTTTGCTCTATAGTCAGTGTATATGTAACAACTGTATTCAAATAACAAATTTCTCCTTCCTAGTTAGTGTCTAGGACTTCATTGGTTTTTGCCACTAGACCACTGAAAAGTGCAGCTGAAATGTAGTTTATTTTTTCTCCTGGTCCCATATTAGATCTTCTTCAATATTTCATATTTTTAAATCTGCCACAAAATTTTGAAGGAGGTTTTCTAATTTTATTAGAAACACAAGTACTAAGTAAAACAGCAGTTTACTTTTGTGTCCTATAGTGTATCGGTATGTAGACACCAATTCAAAGAGAGCATAAAAAAGGAGACAGAGCGAGAGAAAGAGAGAACTGAATAATTAACTAATAGTTAACTAAATAATAAATAAGTTGATAAAATGCACTCCTAAGCATACAGGAGTGGAGCAGCCTGCGGAAGATCTGAAAACCCTCTGTAACCAGTGGAGACACTGTGTGGTAAGCAAAGTCTGTCCTACACCCCATACCCACCAGATACTGGAAAGTTGGCAGTGTCTACAGAGTCCACACGGCCTGGAAACAGCTCTCCCTCTATACTGGCATCTTCCTCTCCCCATAACATACACTGGTCCTCCATTCTTAAAAAAGCCCATGTTGGATCTCACAAGTCCAAACTATTTAAGAACCATCCTTTTGCTCTTGTTCACTACAAACATATAGAATGCTGGTCTATAACCAAAGTATTAAAAAGCTTCTTGACCCCTTACAATCTGGTTTTACCCACAACACGCCACAGAAACCACCTAACAATTTACTAATTACTAAAACAAATCATTACTACTTCACACTTATACAGCTAGATAATTTTCTGCCTTTAATACAAATGGCCACCCACCCCTTCTCAAAAAAGGTCACTCCTTTGGCCTCAAAGACTCTGCTCTTTTCTGGTTCTTCTACCAATCTAGGGTGCTCCCTCAGAGTCACCTATAACTCTATTTCCTTCTCTCCTCTTTCTCCTCTGGAGCTACAGAAGACGTGCAGGAACGTAGGCCTGGTTCAAATTTATGAGAGTGAGCATCAGCTAGTGGGCAGATAAGGTACAAAATCAGAAGCAGGTTCAAGCTCAGGTTCATAGCCTGGGTCGGTATCAGATGAGTGGATCAAGAGCAAGATTAACAGGCAGAAGTGTGGTCGTGGAGCAAGCAGGGGTCAGTACAGGCAGAACTCAAGAGCAGGTCAGAACAAGCTTGGTAAACATTAGGAAGGCAATCAGGAAATACATAATATAGGGTACAAGTAGATACATGACGATAGCGATGGTCATATGCAGTTATCCAGTTTAAATAGCCCGCTTGGAGTCAAGAATATCAGAACATTGGCACACTTTTTCATTTAAGTGATCACACAAAAGCCAGCCTGCGCTTGCTCACAGATGCTCATACAGAGGTCATCTAATCTATCTCTCTAATCCTCAGCACACCCCTTCAGTGTCCTTGTGAATTAGTAATTTATTAACTGATATATCACTATAGATGTCACACCACTCTCTAAACTTTCCAAAACCTTGCTCATATTTTCCATCCCTCTATGCTATCTCTGACTTTCCTAAAAAAATCACTAGCACAACTATTCACCCCTCGTGCCAGGGTGCTAGGTGTAGTTCTTAACTTTAACCTCTCCTTTCAGTCCTGCATCCAGTCACTGTCAAAATCATGCTGCCTTTACCTCTATAACATTTCTAATATATGCGATTTTCAGTACAATATGTCCTTGCTCCTTTCCAAAATATGTCCAAATGACACCACCAAGATACTTATTCACTTTTTATCTCTCACCTAGACTATTGCAACTCCTTACTCATTTGTCTACCTTTACATAGGCTATCTTCTCTCTTCTATTCTTCCTTCAATTATGAATGCTGTCGCCAGACTCATCCACCCTACCAACTGTTCATTTCCACTGCTCTTTTCTGCCAATCTCCTCTGGTTTCCATTCACTCAACTAATATAATTAAAAATAGTAACAACATACAAACAAATCCATCCAAAACTCTGCACCAACCTCATCTCAAAATACCAACCAAACCATTCTCTTTGCTCATTTATGTCTCCTTCTTCTCCTCTCCATAGCTTTGTCCATCTCTGAAACTCCTTACCTCAATCTGTCCAGCTAGCTCTTACTCTTCCGACCTTTAAGCAATTCCTGAAAAAAACTCATCTTTTGAGAAATGCCTACCCCCATCTCTACTTAAAAATTGTACTTTTATCCCCTCCAACACTTTTTCTTTTAGATTGTAATCCCTTATGTGCACAGCCCTCCTAACCCTCTTGCCCTACACTGTATTGTTACTGCACTATCTCCTTTTGTTTTGCAAAGCACTATGCATACTGATGATACAATTTAACTCCCATATAAAAAATATAATAATAAAGGGTTTATTACAATTGTATCTGTTTTTAATTTACACATTGCAACATTTCCTACGAGCGAGTGTAACCTAGAATGTAGGGAGTTTCCCATCAATACCCATCACAAATGATTGGTATGCCAAGGGCATCTTCTATCTGGTGCCTTCAATTCTCCATTATAGAATTCTTGAAATTTGGCATACCTCTTATAAGAATAAAATTTCACTTTACATTTTATTACCTTCTCCCTATTATTTAGATTATATATCCTAATGCACAATTTCCTACAGTAGATTTAAAATAATTTGTGTGTACTTTATACAATGTTCTCCTTTAATGTTCTCATAATTCTTCCTGGCTGCTATAACTGTGACATCATAGATGTACATTTAGATTTATTTCAAAGCCTTTGAGTGATAATTCATTTTACATTGTTTGGTATTAAACTTCTATTTTAACAAGGCTGCATGGCAAGCCTCATAAGTAATTTTCTGTGATGGTAACAAGTTTAATAACCAGGCATGCCATAAAAGAAAAAAGAACTATAAAGTAGTTTCGGGTTGTTCTGCAAGTAGGGGTCAATTAACTTTTAAGTGAAAAAGTAATTTATTAAATAAGTACACTGGTAAATTATGCATGTTTGATTGTTGTTGTCAGTGTTGCTATAGGAATGATTTCCCAGCCCTGTTTCTCTGCCTTACTGTGACCTGGGCAGGATGTGAAATTAAATTTCCCAACTGGGGACACAAACACAGAAAACAACCTAACAGAGGTTCTAGCTCCTCTCAACCCCAAAGCAAAGGTGCCCAGGCAAGATGATTGTCAGAAGGTGAATAATTTACTTTTCTCTCCTATTTTTTTCCACTTTAAGAGTATTGATACTTTAGCCCTGTGATTAAACTCTCTCTGATGTGTCTATCTTCAGCATTCTTGAAAAGCATGTAGCGCTGCTTGAAGCCCAAGGCAACCAGCACTACTCTGCCGAAACTCAGAAGGAGGGAGCAGGCATCCAGTTTCACTGATCCAAAAGTGCTGATATGAAAAGTATAAGACACTACTCTACCAACCCAGTGCTGGAAGGTGAGTATGTGGCCTCAGCCAGTGTTACCCCACTCGACACTGGACCTTTATGACTAAGTCCCAGTGGGGTAGAGCTATGTGCCTTGGGCTTTGATCGGCACCACTTACTTTCCAAGTTCACTGTCATGCCTATTTATTACAGCTTTGTCTTTGAAAATACAGTGACCATATTTTGAAATGTCCATACAACTGTCAAATTTGTCCAGAAAGTTGGAAGACATATCCTTGCCATGGAAAAGCTTGTGCAAGTACTCCCACACAGCCTCTCTGTACCATTCATTTTTAACTTTCTCAATCTCATCCATTAGCTCTTCTGGTTTCTCAAAGCTAACAGTCTCTGCATTCCCAGAGCCCAGACTTCATCTGCACACAGATATAGATAAAATAACAGATGTTCTTATTTTTTCTTTGTACCAAGTGGTGACTGCAGCCATAGTCCAATGGAAGTTTGGATGTTACTCAGTTGTTCTTTGCAAAATCCTTTAAACTACTAGATGACCTTGGGTAAGGCAGTAGGTCTTATGTGGGGCTCCAGTGTTCCCAGTATTATCCTTTTAATAGTGAAATCAGCATGGGTAAGAGTCATTCGTAATTAATTCTTTAGCTTTCAGTAGCCCATGGTAGTCCCAGAGGCAAAGGCCATCAGGACTGGGTAGATGCCCAGGCAACAACCCACAGGAAAAATACCTCTCCAAAAGCATGCTCAGGAGTTTTAGTAAAGCCTACCCAAACCACCAACAACACCCTCATCAGTGGTTGGCTAACCAACAAGCAATCATAATGCCTTCCTGCCCTCCAGATCTCTCAACAGAATCTGACTGGTGATGCATCATAGGAAGTGATGGGGCACACTTCACTGGGGAAATCAGTGCATTAACAGCAAAACTGTAAAATAAGTGCAAGTTTAAGCAGACCTTAAGGAACATATCACTACAATGTTAGTAACACTTCTTTTGGAATCAGCAACTTGCTGGAAATCCCCTACACAAATTAAATATGCGATATGCTGTTATTCCAATTAAAATTTGTTACATATGATCCAGGCTATGTGATTATCTATTTACATTTCACAGCTATAAAGAGCTTTTTAAACTAGGTGTACTTAACTGAGGTTGGTATTTCACTATGCAATATCACTATCCTACTATATAGAAGTGAAAGGTCTGAACCTATCTATTATCTGTGTTGGGGTTTTATCTGACTAACAGTATTTACATTTTCATATGTTTCAATTAATTGTGCAATTGTTGTTCCCCAATATTGTGTCTTTACTGAGCACTGAAGCCTAAAAAACAGGAAAAGTATGGTGATTTTGAAGATAATTTCTTTGATCAGGACTATATATATATATATATATATATATATATATATATATATATATATATATATACACACACTATATTGCTATATTGCCAAAAGTACAAAAGTATTGGGTCACCCCTCCAAATCATTGGATTCAGGTGGGTGTTCCAATCACATCCACGGCCACAGGTATGCAAAATCAAGCATCTAGGCATGCAGACTGCTTCTAAAAACATTTGTGAAAGAATGGGTTGCTCTCAGGGGCTCAGTGAATTCAAGCGTGGTACCATGATAGGTTGCCATCTGTGCAATAAGTCCATCTGTGAAATTTCCTTGCTACTAAATATTCCATCTTCAACTGTTAGTGGTAATATAACAAAGTGGAAGCAACTGGGAACAACAGCAACTCAGCCAGAAAGTAGTAAGCCAAGTAAAATGACAGAGTGAGATCAGCGCATGGTGAAGCGCACAGTGCTCCGAAGTCGCCAACTGTGTGCAGAGTCAATAACTAAAGACCTCCAAACTTTGTGTGGCCTTCAGATTAGCACAACATTGAGAGCTTCATGGAATGGATTTCCATGGCCAAGCAGCTGCATCCAAGCCTTACATCACCAAGTGCAATGCAAAGCGTCTGATGCAGTGGTATAAAACGCTGGTCTCTAGAGCAGTAGCGACGTGTTCTCTGGAGTGACAAATCGTGCTTCTTTGTCTGGCAATCCAATGGATGTAATAAAGGCAAAAGAAAATCGTGCACTGCCAAATAATGAAAATAATAATAGATGAGCTGCTGCAAACACGTGTTATGTGTGTAAACATAAAAAACAGACTAAAACAAATGAAAGCGTCGTGCTACTAGTATAAATCAATACATATAAATATACAAACAAAAACATGACTGATAGTCCCAAAAGATAATAAAACATAAAAATAAATGCAATTCTTCAAAAAAATCTGAATAAGTGAAAAATCTTCCTGCTGGTGATTGCACCCAAAATCCCAGTGCTGTAAATCTTCAATACATGTGAAACAAGGGTGAACACAGATTTCCAGGTGGACCCTCACCTTTTCACATGGACCTGTATGTGGATACAGGTTAAACAAAGCATCTCCCCTATTAGTGGGGGTAACACATAACTTGCTTCTCTGGGCACTTTTCCCCATATGAATCACCACCGGACCTTCACAAATGGCACCCGATTCCAGTACAGCCAACTCTGTGGATAAAGCTTGACAACCACAAAGTAGACCATAGTACAGTAGGCTTCTTTAAAAGGCATATATTTATTAAAGCATATGAACTCACATGATAATAGTGTTAAAAACGCATGAAACAGTGGTCAGAATCAAACAATGGAGAGCAAGACCCTGCCTGTCGAAACAATGTAGGAGCACTGACATCACCTTACGGTATCTACACCACGTGACTTTATCAGAGGTAGCTCAATCCAATGGATGTGTCTATGTTTGGTGGTTGCCAGGAGAAAGGTACTTGCCTGACTGGTGTGGGGTTGTTTTTCAGGGGTTGGGCTTGGCCCCTTAGTTCCAGTGAAGGGAACTCTTATGGCGTCAGCATACCAAGACATTTTGAACAATTTCATGCTCCCAACTTTGTGGGAACAGTTTGGGGATGGCCCTCTCCTGCTCCAACATGACTGCACACCAGTGCAAAAAGCAAGGTCCATAAAGACATGGATCAGTGATTTTAGGGTGGAGGAACTTGACTGGCCTACACAGAGTCCTGACCTCAACCAAATAGAACACCTTGATAGATCCCAGGAAGAATGGTCAAACATTCCCATAGACACACTCCTAAACCTTGTGGACAGCCTTCCCAGAAGAGTTGAAGCTGTTATAGATGCAAAGGGCGGGCCAACTCACTATTGAACCCTACGGACTAAGACAGGGATGCCATTAAAGTTCATGTACGTGTAAAGGCAGGCATCCCAATACTTTTGGCTACATATATATATATATATATATATATATATATACTGTATATATATATAATTTATGTATTTATTTTAATATATAACATAGCTTATTAAGATATTGTTTTGTAATTTTGATCCTAAAGGTATATCTTAAGAACATTTTTCCAGTCGGAAAACCTTTTTCAAAGTTATTTATACAGATGGATGTATCATCAGCTGTGAGTTAATCCTTCACTTACCAGAGGCCTCAGTTTGAAGATTCAGTGAGACGAATAGTGCCTCAAAACAGGCAACTCCGGTGTGCTGTCTCAATAGCTAACCCATAGTTCTCTGGAAATCATTTGCCTTGTATTAATGATCAAAACATCAAAGCTACATCAATGATTTGTTGTTTTCAAACTCAGGGCTGTCATCCTACTCCTTGTTTCACAAAACAATAGAACAATGTACCATCCAGTGAAATCTGAAAAGTCAGAACAATCCTGCATGTATGTTTCAAAGAAAAAAAAAACAGCAATACAAGCTCTATACTTTGTTCTGACAGGTTAATTTTACCTGAAATATAGATCACTCCAGAACAAGGGTAACATGGCAATTTGTATTTCTATTTTTTTTGATACATTATTCTTAAATGCAGTCCTAAATCCTATTTATGGTATAAAGCTTTTCAAAACTGGTCGAATCTTACACCTCACCTCCTTAGAACTCCAGCGGTAATAGCCAGCTAGTTCAGGCATATGCTCACATCCGTACTCTGCGTAAATTCGACGAAGATTTTTAATTTGAAACCATGATTCCTTATTAGTAAAAACTGTCATAAAATGTTCTTTCTACCATAAAACTGAAAGTCTAATGCTTAGAAATGAATTTAATAACGCTTCTCACTTGTGTTGCTGGGATGTTCTGCTCTGAATAAATCAATTTTTGCTGGGTTTTCAAACATGCTCACATTCAATAGAAAGTAAATGTCTGTGTTTATTCAGATTAGAGCCCATATAACTATACGCATAAAATGTACTTAGTATTAAACTTTTCCTTTCAGTTCATTGGCTTTTGCAGTGTAATTTTCACTGAGCATACATTTTCTGTTATTTATTCAATTGCTCTAGGCTAATAATGTCAGTACCTTTTTTAACATACAAAAAAGAAGAGAAAAATGTGGGCATTAGTGCAAATATTTTCAAATGTGCACAAAAAGGTACAATTCTATTGACAAATCCAGTCATCTCTTTTCAGGGTCCATGTAAATGACACATCCTAGATTAGGTGCCACTGGTTAGGCTCAAAAAATCACAGGCTTTCTACTTTGCTGTCATGGTAGACAGATACCTTTGGTCATCCTTTTTTGCTTGTAGAGTCAGTGGAGCATCTACATTCCATGGATGCGTCACAGATTGTGATAGCTCTTCAAATAATAAGATATAAATATAGCAGCTTACCTTAGGGCAAAATATGAAGATAAATGTAACCCTACTGATTCAGAAGATATCTGTAAAAATTAAGCCAAATCCTTCATTCCTGTAATCCACTGTGATGTTGTCTCCTATCTCTTTTTTGGCTGTATTTGTCTTAGGGCTTGTTTACACTTGTTTCAAAATGTGGCATTGGACACGCTTTTTTAAAGCATTCTGAATGCCAATCAAAGCCCCTGTCTCTAAATAAAATGGTTAGCTTATAGTCCTGTTTATACATTGCTTTTGCTTTGCTTTACTTTGCTTCATTTCACAAATTATAACTCATGTCACTTTATTAGTGCTTCAAAGCATCTCCAAAGCCTCCATAGAAGCCTATGACAATGCTCGCTTGAAGCACCTGCAGCTTTTGAGAGCCTTTTATTCAGATTTAGCTTTGCTTGGTTTTGGAGGTATTGCAGACATGAGATATCCCAGGATGCACTGGGAGACCAACAAGAGAACCTTTCCATCCAGATGTAAAGCTAATAGATACACTGATGGACATTTTAGTTCAAAATATTTGTACTATTGAGGAAAAAAAAATATTGGAAATAAATGCAATATTTATATATATTATATAAAAATGCTATTCTGTTTCCATCTTCACTGAATAACAGGTTATGCTTTCAGAATCAATGCTTTCAGAATGTAACATATATTTCTAGCTCATGCACTATATAGGTAAAGGTTTGTGGACTCTTGACCATAATGCCTAGATGAGCTTTTTTGACATCCCATTTCAAATCATAGTCATATTGCCACTAATCCTCCCCCACCCAGTTTGTGGCTATAACAGCCTCCATTCTTCTGGGAAAGCTTTCCATGAGATTTTAGAGTGTTTCTGATATTGTATGACAACAGCTGGCTCTCATAAAGACGTCATCATCAGTCACTTCTGGTTAATGTGTATATATTCTGAAGTGTTTGGTGCAAAATCAGGAAGTTTGGTGCAGACATTAATGTAACAGCAGGAAGGTGAGCAGGGTCCAGACCAGAGATGACACACAGAGACATGTGTGCAATATGGGAACGCTATAGTAGAAGGAGAGAGAGGACTGAGTGGCAGGGGATCAGCAGAGCTAAGCAATGTCACATGTGCTGTGCAGTGTGGGAACATATAGTGGGAGATGAGTGGGATCCAGAGAGAGAGGAGGAACAGCAAACCAGAGGATCAGCAGAGCTGGGGGTTGCTACTGAGCGGGATCAGCAGAGCTGCGAGTACTACTGAGCAGGTGATCTGAACATGGGTACTAGTGATCTGGGGATCTACTGGGCCCCTTTAAAAACAAATAGAAAACCGATGCACACACTAGGCATTTGCCAAGCTTCATTACAGCTTCAAAAAAGCATCATAGAAGCATCATGGAAGCATCATTGAAGCATCATTGAAGCATCACTGAAGCATCACCAAAGCATCAAAAACAATAAAAAAAAAACACGTTGAAGTGGTAGGCACTTTAATGTGTGTTGAAGTCGAAGCAAGTGTAAAAAGTCACATGTTATCCAATCACGTCAAGCTTAAATTGAGTATAGTTTATGAAAAGTCATTTTCAAGCATACATCTGCCTTATCATGTTGCAAACATACATTATTTTGGTGCTAAAGCAAATTTGTATAGCTGTGAATTTTGTCAAGTTGTGGTGCTAATTACTTGTTCTTACCTAGTTTGTCTTCTAGATTCCACCTGGTTATTGGCTGCTTGCCTTGCAATTTCTGTTTATTGCTAATTTCTGGTTGCCCATTGCCAGCTACCTCAATGTCTTGCTCTGAATTTCCTGTGCCTTAATAATTGCATGTTCTGATTTTGCTACATTGCTTCAGTATCCTATCTTCAAATAGGGGACCCTGATCTGGAAGTGTAACGTAGTGAACTTTATATCCCCTTGCAGTAGCTACTATTTAAAGCATAGGTAAAGCCATCATTGTTTTCTTTGCACAGAACATGAAATTCAGATCCCCTGTTAAGTTTTTTATCTGTCTGAGTCTTTCCTGGAAAAACCCAAAGTTTTAGAGTTGTCATCTTACAATGTGAGCACCTTTCTGGTGACAATTATCTAAAAGGAAAATTCCTCTCACTTTATGGAAAATTGTATCACTCACTGTTGCTTCTCTGAGAAGGAATTTTATGGAAATTTCTGCAATGGGACATAGACAGCAAACAAAAAAAAACAAACAAACACAAACCTTGTTCTATCCTTTTA